TATCGCTTCAGCTCTCCCTTCATCCTGTACCGCCCAAACCATCGTCATCGCCCCGGGCCCTACGCCCCCTCTCTCTCCTCTTCCCCCCTCCCCCCTTCCCCCCGTCTGCCTGCCCCTCCTCCCTTCCCTCCCCTGCCTCACATGGACTGGAACTGGTCCGCGTCGAACTCCCCATCCTCCTTGCAAAGGTTTCCTCCCTCCGTGATGATGTCATAGTCGTCCAGCGTCAGATGGATCGGCGTCGGCAGCGGGAGCTGCTTCAGCCCCGCGTTCAGCTCGTGGAAGTCCAGCCCGCCGCCCCTGCCGCCTCCTCTCAGATGGCAAGTCGCGAGCTCCCCTTCCCTCTTCCTGCTCCCCTACCCTCATCTGCCTTCTGCTGTCTCTTCCCTTCCCTCTTTCATGCCCTCCCACTGCCTCCCTCTGCCTTACCCGTCGGCGTCAAGCATCGTGTACAGCTGCTTGATCCGACTCGACAAGTCCACGTTGTCGTTGAACGACGAGATCGACACCAGCAGCGGGGCCAGCACCCCTGAGATCCTCGAAGCCTTCGCCTCCAGCTCCCGCTGCTCCTGCAGCAGCCTCGCTTGCTCCTCTTTCTCTCGCGTCACCGACGAGATAAACTCGTCCAGCAGCACCGCCACCACGATGTTCACCAGGATGATCGTCGCTATGATCACGTACGAGATCGAGAAGAGCGCCACCCGCCGGTTCAGGTTCCCTGCCTCCGCGTCGTCCGGCCCAACCTCGTCGAACAGCGTCCGCGTTACCGAGCTTGCCCACGAGTCTCCCGTCATGATCTGGAACACTGCCATCCTGTACGTTAGTCCTCCCTCCCTTCCTCTCCCCCTCCTCTCCTCTCCTTACTTGTGCTGTCCCCTCAGTCCAGCCCCGTCCCGCGTCCCCCGCCCACCGCGTCCGCACGCCCCCATCCAGCCCCGCAGCAATGCATAAAACACTCCCGTCAGACCCTGATCCGCCTCCCAGCCCCAAGCCCTCCCCCTCTGAGCCTTTCTCTCCTGCTCCCTGCCTGCCCTTCCCCTCATTTCCCTTTCCCTTCCGCTTCCCAATCCCTCCCTTCTCCTTTCCCTTCCCTCCCTTCCCCTTCCCCTCCTCTGTCCTGCCCCTCTCCTCCCCCGCCCTGCCTCTGC